AGTGTCACATTTCAGATATATTTCACACACACTGTAAATAAATGAATCTTGAGGCTTGTTTATTTATTTTCTTGTCGGCTTAGTCCCTTTATTAATCAGGGGTCGCCACAGCAGAATGAACCGCCAATTTATCCAGCAAGTTTTTATGCAGCGGCTGCCCTTCCAGCTGCAACCCATCTCTGGGAAACATCCACACACACACACACTCATACACTACGGACAATTTAGCCTACCCAGTTCACCTGTACCGCATGTGTTTGGACTGTGGGGGAAACCGGAGCACCCGGAGGAAACCCACGCTATGCAGGGAGAACATGCAAACTCCACACAGAAACAACAACTGACCCAGCCGAGACTCAAACCAGCGACCTTCTTGCTGTGAGGCGACAGCACTACCTACTGCGCCACTGCTTCGTCTTGAGGCTTGTAATTTTCATTTAAAAAATTGATGTGGTCATAAGGCTACTTTCACAGCATTGATTAGATTTTGATTAGAAAAGCTAAATCTGATTATTTTCTTTTAAATTCATCTAATAATGTAAATAACTCCTCAAAGATTTGGAAAACAATCAATTCCCTAACTGAAAAGCATCATCACATAGAACTTCCATCTCTCGTTATGAGAGGCTGTTAGTGATAAAAATGAAATGCTCAATTGTTTAAATGAACATTTCATAGCATCTGGATTTCTGTTGGACTCACTAAATGTTACCCAGGTGGATGAGTCAGCTATGCAGCCTGAGGTCTATCCAGCCTTGTAATTTTTCAAGCCAGTCAAGCCAGCTTTTTAATTTTTCACCAACTGCAACCTCAGAGGTGTGTAAAGCCCTTAAGAATTTAGATGTTTCTAAATCGCCCGGTCCTGATAAATTAGAAGCTTATTTTTTAAAGTTAGCAGCTGCTTTTATTGCTCCTTCTTTGACTCATATTTTTAATCTTTCACTTATAACAAATGAAGTCCCAGTGATATGGAAATCAATGTTTGTTCTCCCTCTGTTAAAAGGGGGAGACGCCTCACAAGCAAATAATTCCCGTCCCATTTCTAAGCTGTCTATCCAGGCTAAAGTCATTAAATCACCTGTAAACAATCAATTAAAGGAATTTCTTGAAATAAATAATATTATGTCAAAATTTCATTCAGGTTTCAGAAAGCAACACAGCACTATTACAGCGGTTTTAAAAGTATTAAATGATATTATTGATTCTGTGGACACTCGAAAACATTGTGCAGCCCTGTTTCTTGACCTCTCCAAAGCTTTTGATACAGTGGATCATACTTTGTTGTTACAACGCCTCAAAAGTATTGGTTTATCTGATCATGCTATTGGTTGATTTAAAAACTATCTTACAAATCGAAATCAATGTGTGCAAGTGGATGGCCTTGCTTCTAGTACTTTGAATGTAACTGAAGGTGTTCCACAGGGTTCAGTATTGTGGCCTCTTCTTTTTACTATATATATAAATAATATTGATCAAAATATCAAAAATGCCAATTTTCATTATTATGTGGATGATACAGTTATATACACGGCTGCATCTACACCTAATCTGGCCCTTTCTCAACTGCAGATCGCTTTCAATGTACATCAACAAAATCTATCTGAGTTAAAATTAGTTTTAAATGCCAATAAAACTAAACTTATATTATTTTCAAATTCAAAACAAGCCAAGCAAAAACTAGGCCCTGTTACTACTCATGGTGCAGAGATTGAATTAGTGTCCCAGTACAAATATCTTGGAATTTTAATTGATGATACACTTTCTTTTAGTACTCACATTCAGCAATTGGTGAAAACAATAAAAGTGATTTTAGGCCTCTATTTTAGAGGTAAGATCTGCCTTTCTTTTGGTGCTAAAGAGAAGCTGGTTTAGGCAACATTCATGTCGGCATTGGACTACGTTGATGTAATCTATATGCATGCTTCGTCTCAATGTCTGAATGCTTTGGATACTGTTTACCATGGTGCACTAAGATTTATAACTCATTTTAAATCCCTTACTCATCATTGAGTGCTGTATACTAGGGTAGGTTGGTCTGCTTTGTCCATTGGTAGGCTCAAGCATTTTCATATTGTTGTTTACAAATCTATACTGGGTTTACTCCATCATATCTCCAGAATTATATTTGTAAAAAGCCTGTTCTTAACTATGGTCTTCGCTCACAGGATATGTATTTACTCTCTGTCCCTAAAGTGCGGACTGAGATGGGGAAAAGGCTTTTAAGTACGCAGCACCTTTTGCTTGGAATAATCTGCAAACACAGTTGCAGTTCAAAGACTTGATTTCACTGCATGCTTTTAAAAAGACTATCAAAGCTTTAGAAGTTGAAACACAGGTTTGTAGATGTTTTGAATAGTTGTCAGTGTGATTCACGTTAACTGTAAATTGTGTTTTGTTTGTTGTCTGTTGGACTCATGTGACTTGTGTACTGCCTAATCTTGGCCAGGACGCTCTTGTAAAAGAGATTTTTAATCTCAATGTGTCTATCCTGGTAAAATAAAGGTTATAATAATAATAATTGATGATGTAATGTAATTAACTGTGTTGCTATATAATACTGTATATAAATGCTAATATTCGTTTGCTTAATTTTTCAGATTAATGAAGAAAATGTTCACAGTATTTTCCCACAAAAAAGGAGCCGTTTACTCAGGCAGATTTTGATTAAGAGAATAGATACCATCCAGCAGGTATTTTTATTTTTAATAATGTTATTTGTGTATTATTATTATTATTATTATGCAATATTGCTTATTTCTACAGTTTTGTTGCATCAGACCTCACATTAAATCAGGGATGAGATGAAAGCTGTCGTCCTCTGTTGCTGGTGTATTCGTATGAAAGAGAGGAAGAGCTCATCCCGGAGTGCAATGTAAGTGTCATAAGCTGTTTCAGATATTTAGGTTTTCAGAAAACTGCCTTTTATATTTGTGCATTTTTACAAAATACTGAAATATAGCTCAAACACTACATTGTTGAATGCACTATTGCTTGTATAAACATGGTTTGTTTTTATAATTTTTTTTCTTTGTTCACTAGTTTACATTTGGAAAACACCATTATTGGTCAGAATTCTTGTGTACTTGTGTTATAGTGTCAGGCAGCAGTGTTCACTCAAACATATTGGAGAATTGCTGTTCACAGAGATGCAAAGAAATGGTTTATGTACTAACTGTGTTTAAGTAAACATTAAACATTTGAAATACACAATTGCATAATTTCATAATAATAAACATAATGTTTATATTACAGTGTGGGAATGCACAGAGAACTGCCAGACGGATGACCAACCCTGAGCACTTCTGCAGGATGAGGGAGTCATGGCAGGCTTGGAAAATCTAGAATTGCTAAACTGGATTTATACAAGTCTTCCCCAAAATAAAATCACCAAAAACAAACTGATTTACGTTTCTGACACAAATTCACTGCAGCACCCTTTGGGGAAAGTTCACTGCATTGATTGATTGATTGTGTTGCTAATATTTTCAGATACAGCTTTTAATTTGGTTTTATATGTTATGCAATACACAAATTCTGCTGTAAATTTCAAATAGATTTGTTTAACGACTTGTATGTACCATTTTGTTATCAGTGGAACATGTAATAAAATGATATTTGGCAAAAATGCATTGAGCATGTATGTCACTATTAATTATGTTTTACATTTTATGAATGAGTAATTTTCATTAATAAATATGCGTAAAAAGTAGTTTATTTGCTTAAATTATTAAAGTGCATTCCATTAATAATATTGAAATCATCATCTACCACTCAAAAAAACTACTTTAAAAAATAGTGGTGTAAGACTTGAGATAACACAAATACTTTGATGAATTTTGACAATTCAAACATGAGCTGAAAACACAGAGGCAATCGGCTCCACAACACAGCAGGTGGGAATGCAGGAAAACCAGCTCCCCTCCTTTCCTCCAATTACATTTATAACATCTCCTGAAACCCACCCTGGTCACTCAGCCCGCTTTCACTCTACTCACACATAGGCTCATTTCAAAGTCTGAGTGTTCTAAATCAACCCAAGTGACTTTATCATGTCTGATATCATTTGAAATGTCTCAGTGCGACTGCTTCAATGGTCTCATTCCCTCAGAAATAGACATAATCAAAACAATAGATATATACCTTCAGGCAGGCCCGTGCAGAGACCGTCCAAAGGGCATGTGCAACCAAAGGGGGGTGGTTGGGGTGGGGTTGCTGCTGTTGCAGATCTGCAGAGTGGATGCGCGCATACTGATCAGCTGTGTTGTCGTGCGCGTACTCAAGAGCGGTGTTGTCGCGCACCTACTGAAGGGCAGGACCGAAGGTGTGTCGCGTCGCGGGGGCACTTTTGATCATTTTGGAAGGGCACTTTCTATCCAAGACTAAAAAGGGCATGTGCACTGCACAGGTTGAGCCATATGTGTGCACGTGCCTGCCTTCAGGTATCTGTTGAAGCACTGTGAGGCTGTGCCTTTCCTACAGGCAGACACTCTTCCACTGAATGCAAAAGCCTTTTATTATTCACACACCCCCTTCCTCAAGGAGAGGATTCTTGGATTGACTACTTAAGGGAAAGTTTCTTAATGTTCTGCGTGATTCTGCTACCCAGATCAGTCGTAGTGGATCTCTCACGCTCAATGTTATGT